CGCAGACCATGTGGTAAAGAGTGTGGCCGTTGATTTCGTGGCGGATATTTTCATATTCCTCGCGTGGAAGTATGCGGCAAGCTCCGCGAGATAGGGGTTCAACCTTTCGCATATGTCATCGACCACTGGACCCGACGCCATGATCGTACAATCATCCGCATACGTTACGATCTCAATGCCGTCTGGAGGGCGAGGAATTCCGGAAAGGTAGAGGTTAAACAGTTCCGGAGATATCACCCCACCTTGGGGAACTCCCTGTTTCACTCTACGGGCTTTGGACTTCTTGTTCCGGAATTCCACGTACGACTGGCGTCCACACATATAGTTGATTATCCAACGTTTCAAACTTGGCCGGAGGGTAGTTCTCTGTACGTCCTCAAACAGTGTGGCATGATTAACCGTATCAAATGCCTTTGATAGGTCAAGGGCTACCAACACTGTTCTGTCACACGGCCTGTTCTGGTTTAGTCCTCTACTAATATGTGTGGAAATGGCGTGTAATGCTGTTGTGGTACTATGTTGTGGACGGAATCCGTGCTGGTGGTTGGCAACTGCATAGCTTCCTCTAATGCTGGGGAGGAGTAAAGCCTCAAGAGTCTTTGCTACTGGCGACAAGAGCGAAATCGGCCTGTACGATTCGCCTTTACTGGCATCCTTGCCTGGCTTCAGTAGCGGGTTTCGGGCACTATGTGGGTGGCTAGCGACAAATTGAGAACTTTCGTTAAGTACTCGACTCCCGGCGTATCCAGCTGCTTCAACATTACCATTGAGATTCCGTCCGGGCCCAACGCTTTGGATGATTTAGCGTTACGGATGACATTTGCAACATCACCCATCGTAAACTGTGGTGGTTCCTCTTCGGCGGGAAGAGATCTGATACGACGTAGTACTCTTCGCTTCGCCCTATCACTCTCGGGGTGCTCGACAAATTGTCGGTTAAAATATTCCGCGCACCTCTTCGGATCAGTCACCGTTACGTCGTTAAAAGTGACTGAGGTCCTATCATCCTTTTTTCCAGGGTTCGAGAGCGACTTAACCGTTACCCACAGCTTACTTATATCGGTTCCAATGTTGCAGCACTTCAGATGGTCTAGCCACTTTTTCCTCTTATGCTCCTGTACCAACCGGTTGACTTCCACTGTCAAATCACTGATTCTAGGATCAGTAGGGTTGGTACGACGGAGATCATCACGCTCGTTTGCTAATCCCGCTGCCTCTGCTGGGAAGTTTGGTCTTATCTCGGGTATTCGACCAGCAGGTATATAGCGAGCGGCTGCAGCTCTGATGATGTTTCGGAAAATCCTCTCTGCTACCCGAACATCAGAAGGGTTGGGCAGTTCTCTGAAGCGGCGGTTGGTGAATTCTCTGAACTCTGGTCAGTGAGCTTTCCCATGGTTAAGGAAAGTGCGGCGTTCAGAGGTTATGAAATCGGGCGACCTGCTTATGGAGACGATTATCGGGAGATGGTCTGAGCCAAGAGAAATGACGGGTTGCCAAGTCACGTCATTTATCAGACCGGGTGACACTATGGTTAAGTCTGGCGAACTGTGACACTCTCCTCTTATTCGGGTGGGGGCATCCTCGTTAACCGTGCAGAATGTGGAGCAGTCAATCTGCTCTGCCAGCGCTGATCCCCTCTGGTCATTACCTAGGACGGAATGCCACAACTCATGGTGGGCATTAAAATCCCCTAGTACCAGGCGGTTATTGCCTACCAATAATGGGCTAATATCAGGCAAATAACGTGGTTCACAGCTATTAATCGGCGGGATATACACATTAAGCACCTCTACCTCGGCAGTTCCACACTTGACTGCTACCCCCATACATTCCATGTATGGGTCACTAGAGACTAGCTCAAGCGAGATAGGTCTGTACTGAACAGAATGGTGTAACAGGAACGCTAATCCCCCACCTCCACTTCTGGTGCGATCCTTCCTTAGTACGTTGTAACCATAACAACGTTGTAGGCTGCAATTTTCATTCAGCTTGGTTTCCTGCACCGCTGCGATCTTAATATTCCTCCGACTCATAAATTCCACTATCTCATCTATTTTGCCTCGAAGTCCGTTGCAATTGAATTGCAAGAATGATGCACAATCCGGAGTTGGAACAGCAACATGTGGCGTTAGGTGCTGCGGTGTTGGTTGCTGTTCTGGAGACTGCGGTGGAGTGCCATACTCCGACGACGTCTCTGACGAGGACGACGAAGAAGAGGACTCGCTGGGGACTACGTTACTGCAGCAAGTCGCAACATAATCCCTTTCGCTGTAGTCTCGCAAACGCCTTAATCCGGAACAGTTCTTGAAGTGCACCCACTCTCTGCATCCATTACATCGCACCGAGACAGATCTGTGGTGGATGACGTTCTGACAAACCGAGCAGAACCAAGGTCCGGGGTTTTCCTCAATCCCGGCACGGACCAATAAAATCCGGAGCAAGCATTCCGGGATATGCTGCTCCCAATGCAGAAAAATAAACAAACACAAACATGTACATACTGGGTTGGCAGCCGCTGGCCGAAACTGGAATCTTGTTGTTTCGGGTCAATCCGGTATCGTAGAACCCGCTGCCGTGGGATTGACTGCCGAATGTGGTTTTCTCCGATGAGAAACCATTCGTTGTCCAGCAGTTTGTGAACAAACAAAATGATCGTGTTTACTTGCCAAAGAGATCAGCTGAAAATATTATCGCGAAAATATTCTGGAGGGTGTATTAAAGACTTGGGCACGCAAACATTTTGGCCGCAGACCTTGGGCATTAATCAAGCAAGCGCTTCACCGGGAGTGGGCCAAAATATCGCATAGCAACATTCGGCCGTTTGAAGGCCATAATTCGTGCCAAAGGTGACCAATTAGAACAAATCTAAACTTATTCTAAAATTTGATGCTATATCCGAAATTTTTGGGCGGTATCCCCCCAAGAGCTAGTGCCTGTGAAGAGGATGCGGTCAGCTAAAGAGCAGCAACCCAAGACCTTATAGTAGCGATCATTTTCAAGGCTGACCTCAATGGGTTCATCAGCTAGAATAGCTGGGAAGATCCGGTATATTTACCTGTCTCGGATATCCCATGCGGAATGGTGGCTAAAGTTTGGATTCCACATTATATAACGGAGTTAAAGGAGATCCTGAAGCTTGTTGTGAAGCAGAATGCTGGTGTTTGCATTGGAAATTGACATGTGCTAAATTCTTTTACTAAGAACAGCGGGATGTTTGTTAAGGTAGGTTCAGACAAGGCCGGTGAGGCTTCCTTAGAAGCCGAATGAGATTGCTAAGATTTGGTTGCGAATGAGCCACTTTCGCATTGCAAGGCCGTGGCTGCTAACCCTCTTTGGGTCTAATATCGGCTTGGTTCAGGAGCCCTATGTATTCAAAAATTGGATCTCTGGGCTACACGGCAAGAACTATACGGCTTTTGCCTCCACAAATGGGGACAAGGTGAGGACCTGTAGACGAAGTAGTAGTGGTAAACCATTACTGATGTCCTCAATATACATGCCCTATAAAGACCTGTACCCACCAAACAAAGATGTTCTGGTCATGTTAAAGGAAATGAGCCCATCCTCTACACTCTAACATGAATGTCAGAGGTGAGTCGGTATTCAATTTTATTCTCAACAATAACCTTAGAATATCTAATAAGGATAACACTCCAACATTTGAGAATATTTTAAGAGTGGAAGTCATTGACATCACCCTCCCCAATATGGGCAACTTTGGGAAGTGCTCCTTATCAGATAAAAATATGATATATGGTGTGGTGTCAGACAAAGACTGGGACAACTTCAAATCCCTTACGACAGGGTTGAAACAGGACACTCGAGGTTTGGAATTAACCAACGATGTCTAGATAGCGGCGAATGTTGTCAAAAGTGTCCATCTTTCAAGTTATGAGAAATCTTGTCCAATCACCTGACATGAGAGGTAATCCCAACTGGTTTAGTGGGCTAAGTGGTCTTATTACGGGTTCAACAGCTTGGATCAGCTCCCTAGATTGCCCTGCGGAAGATGAGAGATTTATAGGAAGGATAATAAGTTACCCCAAGGTTATATCAATACCTTTCAACACTTTTAATCTTCTGATCCTGATGGCATTATTATACTGGCAATTTTGCAATATACACCTAAAACGTTGTTGGCCATCTTGCAGATTTTTGAGGCCTATCATAGGTTGTGCTACGTACCCAATCTACGGAAAAAGGTAAATGTCAGGAGCTACAATTTTGAAGAAAGATCTGGTTTCAGAAAAAATATATCGAAGCTAATATCACCTCAAATAAATCTCCCTAAATTTTTGATTTTATATATATGGCTGTCAACCCAAAGTTATCAAGATTAAAAAAGTGTGCCCTTTGAACCCGAAACCGAAACAGAAGTTTTAAAAATTACGTACCATTGTGTGTGGACTATAGTAAATACTCCATATTAATACTTTTTGCGAGAATAGATTATACCTTGTTAGAATGCCAAATATAAAATTACAGCTGACACAGTTGAACATTGAGGTACATATCTGCAAACTACTGAGAAGACACCTTTTTATGTGGGCCGAAAAAGTAATCTCAATACCAAACATTCTAGATAAAGTGCAATTATTGTGCCATATTACAGAGCTCTGCATAAAATAACGCAGTCTTGTTTTTATTTTAGAAGCTAGACGACCATCGTTAAATCGATTTATACTTTTATGGTGATTGAGAATATATAACTTTCGGGTCTCCGACCAATATTACATTTGTTTTGTTTGTTTGTGCGGATGCATATTTGACAACTTTATAAATTAAAAAAAAAAAAAAAACATTATTTTTGTAGGGTACTTTAAACCATTTATACTCTCTTCTAAATATAATTTAGCAATTAGAGTAATTCATTCTTTGTTTGTACCACGAGGCAAATTTGTCCCCCACTTCTGAAAAATTAAGAATAACATAATGCAATTTCAATTATTGGAACCCAATATACAAAAGCTTTTGTATTAATACTTGAAATTGATACTTACGCCTTTTCTTCCAACAGTTTATCAAAAGAATCCTTCCAGGCATCGTCAGGTAAAGTGTCCTCATCAAAAGAATTAAAATCGCCCATAATAAGTAAAAAATATACAAAAAAAGGGAACACAAATTGTATTTCAAATAATTTTAACTTATTTACAAACAACGCGCACTCAGAGTCTGTTGTTAATATTAAGACGGTTGTTTTTATTGTCGGCGTCGAAACCAGCATATTATTCTGCCTTTCCTAAATTGCAGCGTTCGATGTTTATCACCCATTACAAGTCTGCTTTTAGTAATATATGCTCTGTTCCAGAACCTGCAAGAATCTAATAGCTTTTTTCGATATCTAAAGGGAAAATCGGTAATCGTAGTAAAAACTTTCACATTCTTCCTGTTCTAAAACAGACTAAAGCTGGGAATACATAAAGCGCTTATTTGGCTGGCTTAAAGCTGGCTATAGACGAACGATAAATTCGAGCAATTTGTTGGGTTTGTGGTCGCGTTTTTACGTCTGTGGGGTAGTTTGCGAACAAAATGGCAAATTTTAAGCCATTTTGCCATTTCAGTTGCTCTTCAACCATTGTAACGAAAGGTCATGTAGTGCAGACAAAAAATGGCAAGCAAAGACTTTATGATAGAATTTTTTGATGTGTTAAAAAATGAAAATGCCATTTGGCAAACAAAAAGTGAAAAATATAAAGACAAATTAGAAAAACAAAAATCATGGGAAAACTCGTAACAAAATGGAAAATTTTTATAATCCCTTGGAGTAAGCATTTCCATATTTTTGAGCGTTGCTACATGGGAATGCTTTTTTCTTTCGAGCAGCCACTCTTCACTCCATTTTCTTTTTTTTCGATTTTTTTCTTTTCTTGTTATTTATTTTCCATGTCGAAACATGTATATATAATTAAAAGCGCAGCTGCATCAGCCACTGCATCGTCGCACATGTTTTTTTAAGTTTCCTATCAACAGAAAAAACCAATTGTTAAATAAAAAATTTTCTGCCACAAAATTCAAACAGAAGCACAAACCGAAGTTCAAACACAAAATGAACATCATCCGCTTCGTAGCATATGCTTACTCTTCAACGTCGACCGAATTATGATTTGTTCGAGCGTGTGTGGAGAAACGATATGCAATAAATCGCAGCAATAAATTTGCAAATCACACCAACAAATCGTTCGTCTATGGCCAGCTTAAGTCATCGGCTGGCTTCTTTGGAAATGAACAAAGGAGCCTAGGGCCAAAATCGAACAAGGTCAACCTAAAACTCCTTTGTTCATCTACGAAGAAGCCAGCCGATGACTTAAGCCAGCCAAATATGCGCTTTATGTATTTCCAGCCTAATACTTATGAACATAGTTAAAAAAAGTAAAAGTACGTTTACATACAAGATCCGTACCCGGATTAACTTCAATTATCATGACCAATCACAATAAATTAAAGGTATGTATTAAATGGTCGTATTCCTACAGCCGCCGGTCGCGGAAGCATAGCTGAGTGCTATCGGACGCGTCCACAGGTTGCGGATAGTGGGATATATCTATCGAGCAACCGCGAATTAAATAAGCAGTCGAATTTTTCTTCGACGGAATTATCGCGAATTATCACGCTGTTCCCACCGTATCAAATGCTGGAAAGCGGAAGAAAAAGAAGAAGAACCCCAACGGAAACAATGCCCCGGTGGTCCCAAAGGAGAATAAACCCTTTTCTCGTTTAACGATGAAGAGAGGACGGTCAAAGGAGGAACTGTATCCCGAGGCAAAGCAACCGTTAATGGGTAAACTTCCACCCGTAGTTGCAAGAAGGTACTTGTTAGACCAGTTCAGACAGCCTCTGTGGACACTAAGTCTGCTAAGGCCAAATCTGTTACCACCAACCCTCAACCTTCGAGCCAGAGAAAAAGAAAACATTCCCAAACCACCTACCCGGACAATCTCCGTGTAACGGTTATCGACCGAGCTGAGGCGGAAGGCAAAATCAGGCTAAAATTCGGCTGTGCTACCCTTTATATAGGAGTGAAAGTCATCTGCTGCGAAAACGAGGAGTCCAAAAACTTGCTCTCAACCGCAGTAGTGGGCTCTCAAGGCCTCTGTGATGGAAATTCCCTGTATGAAGGTATTTACAACATTGATGCCACCACCTTCGGTGGATCCGACACGCGTGCCCTGGTCCAGGAACCTTATATAGTCACAAATAGGTGACTGGGCTAGGGAATGAACGGTGCATCGCCTATGCCACCTCCAACGGAGAAAAGGTTAGAACGTGTATCGTTGCTAAAAAGAACTTAAATTTAATTTTAATTAAATTTTAATTAATTAATCATATTGAGTTGAAAAGTTTCAAACGAGTGTTCCTTTTCGGATCACCGGAAGATAACATTCCAGTTATCAGTAGAGGGATTGCATCAACAACCGCATAGGAACCCGAGAATGGCTCGAAGGCATGGAAGCTGAGATCTACTGGTAATATCCCAGTAGACTCCACCTTAGATGTGGACGAGTCCGTTAATTTTATAATAAAAATTCTGATTGGGCACCCGGCAAAGGTGCCAACCCGTCAGGTGCTCGAAAGACCTAGCCCAGCTCAGGAATACAAGCAGACGCTTTTATAATAGAGCCAACAAGACCAAACTGGGAGGCTATAAATCCATTGGATGCATAAAGCGGAATGATGCAATCTGTAATGACTAACTCTGGTCTAGAGACACTCAATCTGTTAGCCAGTTCACACTTTCCGAGCTGCTCCGATGCGGTAAATGAATGATTGGTAGATCGGTTTAGTCAGCATCATGGGGCAAAGGATGTAAGTCTGACTGAGAGGATTGTGGGATTGCACTCCTAAAATTTTGTGGGCTATAAACTCATACAAAATTTTCAAGTCACCGGGACCGGATGGCATTATTCCCGCCATGCTACATCATGCATCGACGGTAATAATACCATTCCTGGAAGTGATATTTAAGGCTTATCTGCGTCTCTCTCACATTCCATCACTGTGGAGGGAAGTTACAGCCACTTATATTCCCAAGTCTGGGAAAATAAGTCATGTACTTCCAAATGACTACAGACCTATCAGTCTCTCGTTCTTTCTATTGAAAACGCTGGAGAGACTAATAGACATTGAGATTAGATCTTTGATACCCTTGACCTCGTTGAGCACAGCTCAACATGCCTATATGAAAGGCAAATCTGTTGAATCAGCGCAACACGACGTCGTGGGTTATGTAGAGAGGGACATGAACAACTCGTGCTTCACTTTGGCAACCTTTCTCGACATCGAGGGAACCTTCAATAATGTTACACTCGAGGCAATTCATAGTTCCCTCACAAAACTTAGTATACCACCACTCCTGGTTGATTTGATTGATGATATGCTCAGCAGCAGAATCATCAACATCAGTAAAAGCCTTACATTCAGTAAAATCATTAATAAAGTCCAAAGAGTTGCATCGCTACTAATTACAGGCGTGTTTAGGACCACACGCCACTCCGCACTAGACACCCTACTCAACATAAAACCGTTAGGTTTATTTGTAGATGAACAAGCTGCTAGGTTTAATAGAATCAGTAGTTTTAATAGATTCAGTAGTTTAACCGAGTGTGTTTGACAAAACAATAGAGGTAGATTAATTTGCAAAATCTACCATGGCGCAATAACAAGGTGTTACAGCAAATTTTAGAAATCTGATGAAATGTCAAAATGTGTTTACAGTTTTTGTCTTTTTGATTTTTGTTTTTTGTCTTTTCTGTGATTTCAATTAGCTTGGAAGGGGGACCTTATTCATGGGCCTTGTACTCGACCTTTTTCTTTTTACAAATAAAAATTCTTTTCATATCTAAAATATTTACGTAAGAGGAGCGAATTATTTTTTACAAAAATAATAAAAAGTGAAATAATTTAAAAATCAATAACAACTAAAATTGGCACAAAAATAATAACTAAACTTGGCCCAAAAAAATTCTATGTCTTAAGGCACGGTAACACCGAGCAACAAATTTGAAATTCATACAAAATTGATTTGATCAGCACAATTGCTTCATCTAACTGTGGGAAACATCACTTAATTTGACCGATAGAAATATATAGAGTGTGAAAGAGAGACATAAGTAAAACGGAGTATAATTTATTTTTGAGGAATAAGTGCGTTACTAGAATCTATTTTTTTGGAATTTTTGTACGTTTGTATATACGCATGTTCATATACAAAACTAAATGTAGGGTAGTGAGTAGTGTTTGCGTGTGTTCTTTTCAATTATTTTAAAGTTGCTTATCATATATTCAAATTCAGTTGTAAAAAGATGCTTAAAAACTTTTATCAATTTGTGTCATATAATATATCTTTAATGATATATACACGGCACAATTACAGGAGGTAGAACAAAGCTACCCCCTAAATACATTTTTTTCTTTTGGTGCGCTTCATGGTATAATTATTACAGGTAACAGCAAGCCCCAGCTGATTTGACTCTATAGTAATACTAGTGTCAATCTCGATACGGCGTTTTGTTATTTAATTCCATTTCTTGATATACAATAGGTATACCCATATTTTTTGCCTAATAATATAAAAAATCGCCGTTGTACTTAACAAAACGCCTAAGGCGATGGTTCGGAAACTTTTTTGCGATAAAGGAACAGCGATACCACGTTAGATAATATATTCGTATATTTCATGTTTCCTAACATTGCAAAATATAGAATACTTTATGTATGTATACTGTTTGGTTTCAAAGGGGTTCAAAGGTCAAAAGGGGTGTTGCCTTTTCCGCGATTTTCTAGCGATTGCTTGAAGTGTTGAGAGATTAAGACCAATAGCGAACAACTATACATTGAGAGATTAGGACCAATTGCGAACAACTATACATTCAGGGGAATGATGTTAATGCATTCAAATTAAATATTTTAAGAAATATTCTTCTGCATTTTCAATTTAACAATCCAAATACCAAAAATGTATATTTTTGAAATTAAAATAATTTATTGAAAATTAATTATTTTGTTTACGTTTTTGGACACATAACTCTGACACTTGTATTACTTACAAAAACAAATTTGTATGTGGTTGTTGTTACGATTGTTGTACAACAACTCTTGCTATTACCTGTATTATTCTACCATGGGTGCGCTTATTATGTCAAAACGTATACACATATTGTGTATGTGTGTATATTGTTTTGAATAAAAAATACAATAATTTAAAATTATTTCAAATTCGGTGACAAAATAAATGAATATTTTCGACGTTAATG